AGATGTGTTATGTTTTTACAGTCCCTTGGACTGCTTATTACACCGTTGAGGAAACGTCATCTCCCGTATCTGCACAGTGCTCGGTATTGGAACAGTGTTAGACGTTGTTGTAAACTGAAATACCATACATGCGCAAGGTCACTTTAGGCTAATCTCACAGTCATCCGGATTCTGAAGCTGCTGCTGCTGCTGCTGCTGCTGCTGAAAAAGGTGAGACTGGAAAAAGCAGGTGGAGATGCGTTAGTCAGGTTTGCATCGCTGTAAGGCAAGCTCGCGATGCGTGACCTTCACGGAGGAGGGAGGCCGCTCCGGGCGGTGACCGCAGGACACGCGGCAGCCGGAGGGATTCGGGGCCTGCGGCCGGCCCCACCGGACACAGCCTGTTCCCGTCACCCCCATGCCAGTCCTTGGCGTCCGTCTGCGGTGCACGGCGCAGGGACCCGGGGCACCACCCTCTGCTGGCCGCCGCCCCACGGATGAGACCAGCCGCGTCCGAGCGCCCACACCCCCCAGGCCCGGGCCTCTCTTCCTGCCAAGCCCTGTGCGGCCTCGGCCTGCAGGACACAGTGTGTCCCGTGTGCCACCCTGGGTTCACTAACTTCCTCTGCTCCCAAAAGTCGTTCTCCGCTCTCTTGTGTTTTCCTTTTCATGTACAGTGGAATTTCGCCTCTGACCCATGATTATTAGTCCAACAACACAGCTTACTGATGCAAATAGAATTCTGCCCCTTACTTTCTGGAAAGATAATAAAAGCTTAGAATCTTATGTCACACAACAAAATGCATCTTGGGTGCTAAAATACTTGCTTCATTTTGCCATTCGGGAATATACATATTTGTGCTAAACCATTTAAATGTAAAATTTCAAATGGTTTCTGGGTCCTGGGGTACACACCTGTAATCCCAGCACTCAGAAGGCTGAGGCAGGAGGATTATGAGAGCAAACCCAGCCTGGGCTGCACCGGGACTTGGAAGCTGGCCTGGAATACATAGCATGACCCTGTCTGTAAAACATTCACGTGATTAAAACACTGGAAAAAATAGCTATAGCTCTAATTCAAAAGTGTGGTAGATCTAAAAGCTTAAAAACAAAGCATAAATATTTGATTATATAAAATTAAAAATTTTCATCTGAAAAAATTTTTATCTGTCTAAATGCTTTTTAAACCAATGTTGATGTGCAAACCACAAATTTAGACAAAGAGTTTCAGGGATTATGGCAAATGATTATATCAACATATAAAAACATAGGTTTCAAGATTTCATTATATTTTGAAAAATCACAGAGAACCCTAAAATGATTTATCAGTATTTAATTAAAAATCAAGCCTGATATTTTAAAATATTTATTAGTTCATTAAAACCTGTAAGAAACTGGTCACAGGTCTTCAGCGATACAAACTGTAATGAAAATGCATTTCCAACACAAGAGGAACCAGTGGGAAGCGCCCCGCCCTGTCTTGTGAGTGTGCGTGCTTGTGTTTGTGAGTGTGTCCTCACGTGGTGGCAGATGGGCCCTGTCCTGAATCCCACTCACCAGAACAGGAGAGAGACTCGATCTAGCAGATTCGGAAGTAGCTTTGGCCTTGCAGAGCCCCCGAAAACTTGGTGTGCCGAGAAACGTTGGTTCAGCCCCCAGGGCCACCCCAGGAGCTGGGTGAATAAGTGTCACAGAGGGAGGAGGCGTGCCCAGGGGAGCCGCAACACCAAGGGTCTCCACGCTGCGACTTCATTGTTCTGCATCCATTCAGTGTAGGCTAATCACGTGCTGCCAAATAGAAGCATGTCTGCGTTATAAAATTGAATGAAAACACAAAATTGCATGTTCACACGTACAACTGAAACATGACTGTGGTCAATTAAAATATTCATAGATACTAACATTTTTTAAATGACTGGGATATGATTTAGATAAAACTGATGGTTAGTTTTATTTTTTCTTTAAGGACTGGAAGAAAACGTACCAAAAGTGCACCAATTCTATGCGTTTCCAAATGTTCAATACGGAAACAGCGATGGCCCAGACCTGGGGCTCACGGTGGATTTCAGCCTGACGAATCATTTTCTTCCAGGACTCTTACAGTGCTCACTTAATAAATCAATTCTTTGTCGGTTAGAATTTGGTCCAGAATAGCTGTTTCCCCAATAATTCATTTCCTTTATCTTTGATGAATGGAATTTCCAATAACACAGGACGGGAGTTTGTCACAGGATGTGACTCTGCCGACAGAGTCTCAGCAGATGTCCTGCGGCTCCGCTTGGCCGCTGCTCTGTTTGGCGCCCGGGCCGTAGGTGGCCTGCGACCGGACACAAGCTGGCTTTGCTCCTCCGGGCCAGCTCCACAGCCCTGTCCCTTTCCCTCTGCAGCTCCCCGTTAGACCTGTGGCATCGCCGGGTGCATCTCTACTATCAAAACCAGAGAAGTAGGTCAAAGTTAGTTGCTAGAAACATGTTACTGATGCAAATACTGTGCCTTCATGAAATTATGTAAACACCAAGTTCACAGAATTCTATTGTAAATATAGAGAAAAGGGATCACACACGCTAGACCATGGAACCCTAGAGTGTGGCATTTCACAGGAAGCCCTGGCTGCAAGGTAGGATCAGAAAGTACGGCCAGATGACGTCGCAGGGACTCGCTGGCCCTCGGTCACTGTCGCTGACTGTTACACGACTTTGTCAAATGGTGAGCTGCGTCTCTCAGAAAGTTTTAGGACACTTCTCAAATTCGCCTTCCAGTTTTGTTAAAGGACCCATGACAAGCTGGGACAAAGATACTAAATTAACATTTGTTGAATATTTACTGTGTGCTCAAAAATCTTTTCTTTTAATTCTCTCAACACTGCTCTGAGCGAGGAACCATCATTCTCGTTACTTTATGGCACTGAGTCTCGGAGGGGGAAGTACGTGGTTCCAGGTCATTCCGTTACTTAGTGGTGACGGACACCTGTAGGCCCGCAGAGATTGTCTCCGGACATTGCGTTCTTCAGCAGCAAGTGTACCGTTTAAAATTACGGCAGCAATGAAAGCTGCTATGTCTATGACTAGTAAACGAAGGGGTGGAGGACAACTTAGTGGAGGGCCCTTGCAGAGCACCTTGGGGACATGACGCCTAACAAAAACTAAAAGTCAAGCTACTTGTTGAAAAGCCACCAAACTGTCATAGAAATGGAAGAGGCCACAGCCTCACTCTCTTCTGAGACCCTCTGCTGGGAAGCAGGGATGGAAGAGCAGCGACGGTGGCCCACTTCCCGCCACCGACTTCACAGGCCCACACGGGGTGCTTCTGTCTCCAGGTCACCTTGGGTGCATGCACATGAGCTCACGATAGATAAGCTTCCTCCGGGTCGCCCTGGTCTGATGCATTGTTCTCCAGAAGACTTGGCTTCCTCTTGTGTGTCATGAGGTTGGCCGTCGCCGAGGCGTCCTTAGTGAGGAGCTTTCCTCTGAGGCTTTGTAGGACTCCTTCTCTCTCCTCAGGCCTGTGCGTTCGTTTCTTTGAACACACTGCTGCTTCACATTCAAATGACCGGATTCCCCTGTCCAGTAAGGACCAAGATGCTGGCCTGCACACGTGTGCGGTGCCAGAACGGGAGGAGGATTTCTTTGCCGTGTCACAGTCCTCCTTTGCTTCTGTTCCACTGTGACTCCATGATACAGAAGCACACGCGCAGGAGCTGCGCTGTGTTGTTCCTCCGCTCACTGTGCGTCTTGCAGGTTTTTTGGTCCACCCCTGTGCTCCTTGGAAACAAACCCTCCTTACTTCTTCAGCACACGTTTTCACACTTGTATTCCTCTTTCGCTTGTTCTTGATGACGGCCAGGAACCAGTTAATACTAATTAACACCAGCCTTGGAAAGTAAATTAACTGTAAACCACCTAACCTCATAGTAAAAGCCCTCTAAAATTTATACAAAATTAATTAAATTCATCTTCTGTGCACACAGTAAATCTTGGCAGCAGCCAAATGGAGTGAGTTGTCTGAAGGAGACCAGGGATCTTACATTTATTTCCTGTCTCTGCCAAGAAGATTAACCACATTGATTTTTTTCTTTGTAAAAGGAAATAATCTGAATCAACTGCCTGGCTAATTCCTCGTATTTGTGGGAGAAAAGCTTCCTGTCTTCTGGGTGTGTCTCTTCTCCATTTTGATGTCTGGTTAATAGTGTATTCACAGAAAAATTACTGTCGCAAACCATCGCTGCCCTGCCTGGCTTTTTGTACAATGTTTCTCTTTCCATTTGTTTTCACTTCCACGCATCCTTCTTTTCTTTCTTACTTCTGCTGATTGTACATCTACTTACCTCATGTCTCCAAATCTGACAGTAGTTACACTGATGTGGGAAAAAATGCTGATCACCACATTGCAGGTTTGTTTGGAGCAATTTAATTTTGTCCTTCTACTGTTACGCAGATGACGGCCTGATTGCTTCATTTCTATCTTGTTTAGCAAAAGTTAAGTACGTTTATGAGTCAGAGAAGTCTGTTCAGAGCATATTTCTCACAATAACATTTATAATAAAATACGAAGTTATAAAGTATTTTCAAGTATCTGAGTAAAAAGATAAAATAAAAATCAAATATTACACTAAATTTTATTTCCTAAGCAAATTTCTAGAATGACATTTATAGCTATATACTTTTTTAACTTGGACTTTCTAGAAATTGCTGTTGATTATGGTAGCTGGCTAAAATGGGTATGGTTCACTCAATTTCCCTTTGAGGTTGAGTCAGCTTTAGAGCACCCTGCATAATAAACTACATATGCTAGATTCATCCTTCCCTGCTCTGAGGAAATGCGCGTGAGTGAGAAGTATCTTAATACTTTTGCAGGAATCTCTTTTCATGTGACGTCTTCCAAATCTAGCAAAGGGAGGAGTCTGAATCCATTTCGGAATTAATTAGTCGGCGTCAAGCAGAGCAATGTGCTCCATAATCATCGCAGAAGGTGGGTGTTGCCATGCAAGCTTGCATGGTTCTCACGCAGTCTTAATCAGACTGTGGCCACAGCAGTTTCGTGAGGTTCTTACACTTCGCCTGGCAGTGAGGCTTTGTTTGCCAACTTGGAGGACCTCAACTACAACTGAAATTCAGTTTATCCTATCTACGAAACAGTAAGAAACTTAAATAAATGTGTGTAGGCTTATTAAAACTAAAGTTTTGATCATTTAAAAACCAATATTCAAAAAATAAATAAAAACCAAGAGACATAGTAGGGTAATTCTTATTTGTATTTTCTTAAATTGATGAAAACTCAAAAATTAAAAATGTAGCTAAAACTGACTGGCAAGAATGAAATCCTTTTATAGTCACTCTCTCTGGCAGGTGCAACCTTTACTTTATATGAAAAAATCACTTACTTTTCAAACTACATATTTTTCTTATTAAAATGCATGTTGTAAATACCTTGATTTCATAATGATTTGGTTTTACTTTAGAGAACTCAACTTATGTTCATTTAATAGGCTCCTACTAAATCACTGGTTTAAATTGGAAAACACATTTCAGGAACGTTTATGTTTAAAGATATATTTTAGTTTAACTCGCAAGGTTGAGGCCAATTTCTTATAATATAGTCGAGTTTACAAAGTAGGGTGCTATGTGTACCCTTGAAATTAGAATAAATGATGGTGTCTGCTTTTGCATTTAATGATTATATATATTTGAGAAGTAAAACTAATTAGCACTGAGGTATAATAAATAAATGACTGCCTCACTTCTAAATTATCTTTCAAAAAGGAAAAACTAAAGTCTATGTAATTAAATAGATTGTAACACACACTATAATATCAATGTGACCCAAATCCCTACCCCTAAAGCGATTGTCAGAATAAATCATTATAATAATTTTCAAAAGTAAAACATAATACTTCTAACAGTCAAACATCAAGATTACTTATTTGCATAATCATTAAATGAGATCTGTAAAACACAATCCATGAATAGGAAACACTGGAAAGATTACCACAACCCTGCCATTTCTTGTTACAACAGTTTCTTGGGACTTTTTGCAAGACTTTTTGATTTCAGGGTGGCCTATTTCCCTTCCTTCCACTTACAGAGTTGCAAAGACTGTGGATACATTATGTCAACCAGGTTTGTTGTTCACCTTTTATTGTCAGGAACTATGCATTAGGAAATCATATTCTCAAATACTTACAGATTGGGCTTTTGTTCCTGATACTTCATCTAAAACATTTTAACTTCTTTCTTTTTATCTCTCTACTTTTGATTTTCTAGATTCAGCAGGCAGAACTTTTTCTAAGTGAAGACAATATGATATGGAACTTTGCTCTGCTAAAAAATGGATTATGCTGACAAATTACTGTTAAGAGTAATGTAAAGGTTAGTTGTGGATTTCGAATGTTAAGGCCTTTTGGGAAATATTTATGAAGGTTCGTATTACACAGATAATCCCCTTTCCCTTATCAATTTTAGCTATTTGAATTTTGAGCTTCATGCGCTGCTGCTTCTCTGTTGGCTTGCTACATTAATCAACAATATATTTGTACCCTTCCCGTGTGGATGATGAATTTTCCCTGTGAAAAACATGCTGCCTACAGACTCTTTGTGGATCTGTATTATGTTAGAGAGATATTAGTCGTCACTGAATATAAAGTTACAGTGATAGTAAATAATGTAGGTGCGGGGCATCTTTTCTCACTTTCAGCCCAAGGCAAAGAAGCAAGGACATGAGTTTTGGTGGAGCGGAGGTGAATGTACACGTGAAGATAGGTTGCATTTCTAGATTATCAGGTGAAAGAAATCATAGTATCCTCCAGAATGGCCGAGAGATTAAGCAGAGCCCAGGACTTCAAAAGCAGCTTTGTTTTTGTATAATAAACTTGTGCAACACTGAGACAGTTCCTGCTCTCCTATTATGGACATTCTGCTGTGGAGAATTCCATTCTGTGTACTTAATTTCCCTGAGAATCGAGCTGGAAATGATCTGGGTGCTTGTCTAGTCGTGGAGGTCTGGGATGCAGATGTTGTGCAGCATTTCATCCTGAAGTATGGGAGAAAACTTATTTTGTGGCTGGGTTGGGAGAATAAAATTTGTTGTGATCAAAAGAATAATAATTTCATATAATTTTGGAGAAATGACCTCCATTTAGTAATTGTAGGTCATTTTTTAATCTCTTTGATTTCCCTACCAAACACCAGCTACACATTTATTTATTCCTCCATGGGTACACACATACATACACACAGACTAGAAAATGCGGTGCGTGGAAGGGTCACATGTGAGAGGGCCAGTGTCAATTTATTCTTTTTGATTAGCTTTAAATAAAATTGATAAAGTAGCTTGAAAGTAAAATAGTTCCAGTGTTATTATTTTGTGTCTATCAGTGTTTTTCGGGGTAAAATCTACCATGCATATAATATAGCACAAGACTTTCCTTTACGTATGTACCTATACATACACACACACATATGTGTATATATATAACATATATGTGGTGTAAAAAGAATCTCTTAAGAGAAACTATCCAGAGAGGAATGTAGAAAAGAAATGAAAGGAAAAGTGAAAATTAAATGGATAAGAGAGTGGTCCACACATATACCTTATTAAAATTAATAGTGATAGTTATTTTTAATGATATATGACTATTGAATAAAGAGAAATGACAAATGGCTTGTTTATTATAAGAATAAGCACAAATCTATCTTACCACTTTAAGAACTATCATTAGTTGAGTTGAACAACAATTTTGCTCTAAATTTTCTTAGCTGTGTAGGACAGTTGGAGAATAAGAATGACCCCCTACTGGGAGTGATACATTACCCATTTGCTCTTTACTGTATTGCTTTATGCCTAAGAAATCTGTGTGTTTGTTATTGTATTATTATAAATTCTGCCTTAATTTTTAAATGCTTACAGTACATTTTATTTAATAACATTTTATTTTCAGCTAGAACATGGTAACATTTTTATTTCCCTATTTTTTCAGTGCATTAAGCTTGTAGATGACTTGAGAATAAGCATTAGGGTGTAGAGATAACATATGGTCTCAATAGGTAACTGACACATGAAAGAAGAAAAATGTGATTTAATGATGCTATTTCAGCACTGGTAATTTAACATATGGTTTGAGAGGAAGGTAAAATCAGCAATCAATGTGGACCTTAGATCTCAGGGCTAAACTACCTCATAAGTGTGTCTCTGTGTTTCACGGCATTTTAACATTGAGATTACCAAGGCTCCTGCCCTCTCCCCAAACACTATGGAAAAGGGTTTGATTTCAGGTCCTGTGAATAGCAGAGCATGTTGGTTTCTATTCTGACAGTGAAAATGAAACACTTGTTCTCTGGATTCCATGCTAATTTACTCACCTCTGTTGCTCTGCCCCTGTGAATCTTTATGCCACTGTATGTTGCATGGTATGTAGCAGACAGAAATAGATTTGGCATCTGGAAATATACAAAGGAATATTTTATCTCCCAGAACTAACCTTCTCATGTTAAAACTTATTATGTCAGGACCACATTTCTTTTTACATATAATCAGTATATTCTGATAATAGGTACAAAACAGGCATATTAAAAGAGAATATGTGTATATTTGTATACATGCAAATATATTACATATACAATGTATATAGTTACTAAGAATTAGCTAGACTTTACCAATACAAGCATTCTTACCCATAGCTTCTCAAAAATGACATTCTTACAGTGTAATACTTTCTTGGATGTAATGAAAGTGAATGAATGACATGCTAGTCTAGCCCCAAACTATCTACTTTCTGACGGTCTCAGATATTTTCTAGGATGCGATAGAATATCATGACAGAGATGCCCCTCGCTTCACCTCCTAACCATGTGCATGAGGCATCGCATGGCTTGGGCTGACTCTTGGTCCCTAGCAAACTGCTCATGTGAGAAAGAACTTCCAGGCTCGTTATACAAAGAGCGCTTTGAGAGTCGGCTTCAATTTTCAAAGTGCTGTTTTCAAGACTAGGGAGACAGAAGTTATCATGATGGATCATATTAAAGACAAAAACCTTTCAGCTTCTCATGTAGCATTTTGAAAACTGAAGTGTAGTTGGGAAAGGAGAAAGCAGCGTGGAAGGCCATCTAGACCTTTAGAAACGCTGGCACTGGGAGGGTGCCCTCTGAGACAGCCAATCTCGAAAGCGTCTTCCATGTGTTGCTGTAGGCAGTTGTGTACGTGTGTGCAAATGTCTGCATGTATGCTTATATGTTTGTATACATGTATATTTGTATGTGCCCCCTGAGTTCATGTGATTATATTTATACTAAAAATGTTACCTTCAGAATAATCTGGATTTCATGAAAGTTCACAGCACATACACAATCTACTTTACTTGCATTTCCTTTTCAACAGATGACAACTCTTCAAAGACATTAAGTGCAGGGTAGATCAAGGAGACAACATTCCAAAAGTTACAAACAGTTTGGGAAACAATAAATGAGAGATAAAGACTATCATGAAGTGCAAGTCTTGAGAATACAGTAACAAGCATGGTAGTTACGGACTTCAGTCTCTGTTGACCCAATGGTGCTCTTGATTAGTCTTTGCTAACTGAGCAGCATTGATAATGATGGTTCCCAAGAATTATAAATTTAGCATTGAATGTGGTGTAGGAGACGTAGTTTTGAACAAGTTAAATTTAAAAACTGTGAATTATGTACCTCATTCTGATTAACACGTCCTCAAATGCGGATGATACAAAACAAACTGCCGAGTTACAAGGTCTGGACGAATACACCCAGGGTTGCGGGTGTTGATCCCATAGAGCAAACATCAGACTACAGTGAAATTATGTTCTTCAGTATTTATGAAGTTGAAGATGCTGAGCCTAGTTCTTTGGATTAAAAGTATACACATTTTTCTGTCACTGGGGTCAGAACCCAAGGCCTTCCCACTCAGCTATCCCTCCAGTTCTTTTCAGAAAGTTTGTACCTTGAGACAGGGTCGTTAAGCTCTGCCTGCTGGGCTGGAACTTGCTATCCTCCTGCCTTATTCTCCCAGGGGACTAGAATTGCAGGCGTGCACTCCCCACCTGGCCCTCGGTGCATTTTGGTTGCATTAAAAGTGTGAACATCCACTAAAGCAGCGATAATTTACGACTTTGTGTGATGACTAAAAGCAGCAGCTCTCCCCGTGCTGCCCCTTCCCTAACCCTTGGCCCGGTCCGCTCTCCAGGGCGGGCTGAGAGGCTGGGGAGGAGGACGCGGTGGATGAGCGGGACAGGAGTGTGATGTGGGGGCAAAGCGGGTGACACCCTGAGACCCAGATCAGATCTGGGTCGGCGGAGAAAGTTCCTTCCGGTTCGGATGGGTGGAAGCCTCTGGGCTCCAGGCAGGCCTGGCGCGACCAGCAAGGGAGAGGTGCGGGACGTGTGGAGTTTACGGTGCAGGTGCAGGGGAAAGTCATAGCGCCTTCCTGCGAGAGCGCACCCGGGACGCGAGGCTGTCAGGTGTCGGTGAGTGTTGTTGCACTGCCCGAGGCGTGAGCACAGAAAGGCTGCCTGGGAGCCGGACAGCCATCCCTCGTCCCACCCCTCACTGGCTCCCAGAGCTCCAGCATTCTGCTGGGCAGTTCGCATTCCTTTAACTTTTCTGTTTTTTTTTTCTTTCTAATATTATTCCGGGATATTTTTTTTTCTAGACTCTACCCTCTCAAAGAGCAGGACATCAATTTTCACCATTCCATACCGGAGATATGAATGATATGGGCTCAAAAATATTTGTCAGAAAATAAGGAGAAAAGGACAGAAAGTGTGAAGGGGTAGAGGGAAAAAAATAAAGGCAGAACTAAATCTGTAAGTGTATGAAATCACTAAGGAAATAAGTGAAAAACAAGAATCTGGAGAAATACAAGATTTTTAAAAATATAAAATAGATCATATAATTCCAATACAGGAAAAAGTGCTTCAAAAATGAAGAACAAAATACACGGACTGAGTGAACTACTCATTTATACAATGTGTTGAACTATACAACTTCGTGCTACACATATGTACAACACACACACATACACGTGTGCACCCTGATGTGCCCACCGTCAAGATAGAATGCAGAACATTTTCAGGAACCTCCAGACGCCTGCATGCGGCGAGCGGAGAGCAGCCTGCAAAGCATACAGTCCCTCTGACCTCGGACTCTAGATGCCTCTCCCCCTCCCATGAAATTAATTTATAAATGAAAACATACAGTGTGCACTGCTGGGGCCTGGCTTTTCCTCAACATTATAACCACGAGATTACTTCGGATGTTTTGATTATTATTTTTCTTTGATGAAAGTAATAAGCTATAAATCTCAAAACAAATTTTCAGAAATTTTGAATGGTCATTCTTCCAGAAATTATTTCCTTAGCCCAAAAAGAAGAGACTCTAGTTAATGTGGAGAGAATTTGTATTTTGTAATCTATGTGGGAAAACTAGTATGACATTTGGATATGTATTAACAAATATGTAGTATTTTCTTATAATATTCACATTAAAACAATTTTCTTAATGAAAGATGTTATCCTACAAATATCATTTATCTCATTGTATAATAAGTTAGAAAGACTTTGGCAAGTCACATTATTTTTGATAGTGAGATTTATCTTTCAATAGTATTCCAATTGTTTTTAAAGTATAATTTACTTTTTAAGAGCAGATTTACATTCATCAAAAAATTAAGCAGAAGTCCAAAGTTTCCATACCTCTTGTGCCCCATGCATAACTGACCTCCTTCACAACATCCACATTAAAGTTGTATTCAGCTGTACGAGGGTCAATATGGATATAATAAGTTCACCAGTTGCCAGTATACAACAGGGTGAGTTTAGACAGTTCGTGCGACCATCTGGCCACCTGCACAGTCTCAAAGTGGGACCCGTCTGAACCCCTGAAATTCCCTCATGCTCCCCCACTTCTCGGGCTGTGGACAATTCCTCTTTATAAATTTAAAGTTTTACATTTCCTAGAACTTCATAAAAATGGACTACAAAGAGTATATCCTGGTGATCGGCTTCTTTTACTTATGAAATGCTTTTAAGAACCACTCTTGTGCATGCAAGCTCTCCATTGTTGGCTTTTGTTTGTTTGTTTGTTTGGCTTTTTTTGGTACCAGGGATTGAACTCAGGACCTTGCACTTTCAAGGCAGGCACAGTGCCATTGAGCTAAATCCTTAGCCCAAAGCTCTCCGTTTTTATTGCTAAGCAGCTTACCGTTGTTTGGATGTATGGCTATATCACAACTTGGTGAACTGCTCAGCAACTAAGAGAAATT